TGGGCGGGCTTGCGAGTCCCGGAGGTGGTCTTTCAAATCTAGGGTTCGTCTCGGGCTATAGCTTCTGGGCCTTTTTCCGGTGGATGGCATTTCGGTATTTGCTTGGTCGAGCGGGTGGTGGGGTTGAAGTCCGGTGAGGAGGACGTTGTTATTTTTAGTTTTGTTGTGTTTTCTTTTTCGTGTTGTTTTGTGTTGTTGGTTAGTGTTTTAGTTTCGTCTTTTTTTGTTCTTCCAGTTGGGAGCTTCTCCCCTTGTGGGAGTTTTTCGGTTTCTTCTTTTTCGGTTCTCCCGGTTGGGAGCTTCTCTCCTTGTGGGAGTTCTTTTATCTTCTCTATTGGGAGTTTGTAGGTTGTTTTTGTGTGTTGTTGTTTGTTTGTTGCTTGTAGGTAGGATTTAGACTACACTTTGTGTAGCTCTTCCACCTAGATTCAGCTGATTGGCTGGTTTCTCGGCGAATTTGCTGTTTTCTAGTTTGTATTGGTGTGTTTCTATATATAGAATTTATCGTTTGGAAAAAAAGAAAAGAAATGCACATTAGATGAAAATATACATTTATGCATGTGAGAATGGACATTAGCGTAACATCATAGTATGCAAAAATGATAAAAATTCCACTGCGTGAAAAACCAAAAGTACCCAAGATTACAACAATGCCACCGCCCTTTTGATTAGTGTTGGAGCCTTTACCAACACATTCAATCAGTACGACCCATTCTTATTTCTTATATACATGTGAAAATAGTCTTTTTCATCCCAATATGAAAATGTATTAAGTTTTTCACCTGTCTGATAATAAGTTAACATTTTCACCCCACAAAGTGCAAAGGCATTATGCAATAGATATGCAACATTTGTGCGATAGCAATTTTGCGAAATTTAAAAGAGCGAAGGCATTCGCGTAACCCTTCGAACTTCCTGGCGTGGAAAAAGTTAAAGTGTACAATGAGTATGTGACAATTATGCAATTGACATAAGGTAGTTATGTGGTCCATTGACATAACCTTCGCATTTTTCAGGAAGAAAAAGTAAACTATTAGCGTGCGGTGTGACAAACTTAATAAAGTGTAAGGTTATGCAAATGGACCACATTACTGTCGCATATCCTGATATCCATTGCACAACTATCGCATATTCATTGCACGATGTTTTCGTTTATTCCGGGGTGAAAAAATTAAACTTATCACCGGGCGGTGTTAAAAACTTAATACATTTTCATAGCTGATTTTCACCCTTTTTTTTCTATAGGATAAGTGAAAAATTAAATTGGCATTGTGAATGAAAATAATTAAATAAATGCAATAGATTTGATATATAAATAATAAAATATTAATTAATAGTGATAGGTAGTTCAAAATATATGAGTGATTAAATTTCTTTTTGGCTGTAACATATACAAATATTGAATAGTATTTTATCTGCTGTAAAATATATACTAAAATCGTAATATACAACTATTTTTTCAGTAGAGTAGTCTATGCTTCTCTTTACATTTAGTTAGTGTGTTGTTTTTCTATTCTAGGACACCATGAGGTGATCATCTCTGTATGACCACTTGGTCTGCTTTGGCTAGTATGCAACTGAACTTTGTACATTTGATTTAGTTATTTCATCTATCGTTTCGTTTTTTAAATTTCGTTTTTTTAAAAAAAAAGGGACCCATGTGCGAGTTCATAAACATCAGACAACTTAGCTGACTCCATAAGCAACACAACAAGATAATAATTAAAAAAAATGTTTTCCTGATACAAGTAATAAAGGATCAAAAATAAATAACGTGAGACTTGTCATCAAATTATTAATGCAAATAGGATTTGGTGATCTATTGAATGTTTGGAATCTATACTACTATAAAAAAGTTGTTGGAAAAATATCTTTATAGTAAGTTTGGTTAAAAAAATAAATGGTTTGACTTACTATTAGTGGTAATTTGAAAAAAAAAAAACACATGTGAATATTTATGAATTTTATATCTATATTAATATAAAGAGGTTGTTGGAAAAATACATAAATAGTAACTTTGACTTAAAAAGTAAATGGTTGGCTTACTATTAGAAGTGACAAATAAAAACACACCCGTGATTAATGGTACAAAATTTGTTTATTTTGATAGGATATTGCCAAGCCATTTTTTTAGGTAACTAAATTGATCATTTTTCTCTTTCCTAACTAAATCTTTATGTATCTCTTTAAATTTTCAAATTTTTAGATTTTGAAATACAAATAATTGATACCCCATAAAATTTGAAAAGGATTGAATTTGAAAAACGTGAGATTTGAACATGATACATATATTAAAAACGAATGAATATATTTGTAGTAGAAAAAATTTAATAATTTTGGTAAATCAAAATCAATTGATATCACATAGATAATTAGTGCGTATCAATTCAATTTCGTATCCTTTTTTTCTTTGAAAAAAAAAAATATTCCACTAATATATAATAGGAATAGAGATTTACTGAAAAAAGAAACTAAAACCCCACTAAAAAATTCATTATTACTATTATTTGTACAATTTTTTCGAATATTTTTTTTTTTTAAATGGGAGGTTAGTTTTCACTTTGAAAATCAAATTATGAAAACATATGATTAATATTGAAAACGTTTGATTTTTTGTTAAGTGCTTGATCTATTTTCAAATTCAAACGCAAATTAGCTATAAAATCAATCATACGATATTCACCGATAATTAACCACATAATTTTTTATATTTACAATAATAATGAGATATAGCCAGGTACAATAATATACTTAATTTCATGGATTGACAACGTGTGATTTGATATTGTCGGATTAAAATAATTAACCACATAAAATTTTGATATTTACCAAAATAATGAGATACAACCAGATACAATAATATACTTAATCTGGTAATCTTCTAAATGGTAATTACCAAATAAAAAGAATCTTTGAATTTAAAACTGGAGGTTGATTTATAATTTGAATTTCAAATTCATTCAAACATTTAAAGAAAAATATCATAAGCTGATTTTTTTGGATACATTACACTTTATCTTAACATACATTCCTAACAAACATTAAATTTGCTTATATATTTTCAAGTTAATTACATCAATAAATAATACTAATATACATTAAATCATTATCATTATATAAGAAAGAATATTTCTTCTATAACTGTTATGAATAATAATGATATTATACGACAATAAAATTTTAAATAAAATAATATTTGAGTATTATGATGAACCAAAATATGTAAAATTATTATTTTTTTATATTGAAAATAAATATATATGTTAAAATATTATTTATATTAATATAAACGGATCAACGAGTTAATATATTGTTAAAATAAAGTTTTGGAAAAATGCTCTAAGGTTACGAAATTCCCGTGCATCGCACGGGATTCTCACTAGTATATTGTAAGAGGTTGATGAATAATTCAAATGTAGAAAGTTGACTTTTTGTTTAAATAGTTTGACTTACTTATAAAGGAACTGTTTTGAATAAAACTTAAAATTAACTTTTATCCTTTGGCATGAAATTTAGTTTTCAAAATTGTATGCTTAAATATTACTTTTTTGGCTTCTTGTGGTGCACTTTAATTTTCAAATTTATAGGCCAAAATATTGTTCACTTTTTTTGAACAATTTATGTGTCATATTTTTTTAAAACAATTATATATCAATAAATCTGTTTAAAATTCAAATATATTTAAAAATGTATGACAATAATTTTTGGTATACGTTTTCCATAATAAATCTCAAACTATGAAATTAGTCATTTACATTAATATTCCAAATCAAATATTTGCAGTATTTTAATTACATATAAAATCATTATGATGTTTAAAAATTCTGTGTTTATAATTTCTCATTTAAAAAATAAATCAGTGGTAGAAAATAAATTAATTAAGAGTTAAGTAATGGTGATGCTAATTTTTCACAATTAATTTATTTATAAATTAATTTTTATAACTACATATATATCATACAAGCGAAAGAATTATAATTACATATTATTGTAGATATGCAAAATATCTCTGCTATGTAGTAATATATATTGGTATCGAGTTATCACGATAATTGCAAAATCAATCTATTAATTTTTTTTTTAAAAATTAATATTTTTATATTTCATAAATATTCATAAAGTAAGATAATATTCTCTTTAGATAAGTAATTTATAATCTTAATATGTCATTTGTTATAAACATTTAATACATGAATCATAAATATTTTTTATATCATAAAGTTGCATATATTTAAGGAAAATAAGAAAATTTTATTTGATCAATCGAGTGATTGAATTAGGTAAATGCTCACTATTAGGTGATATTTAAAATAGTCCAAAAACATGACGTAACTGAGTTTGATCCTGGGTGATCGAGTTATGGGTCAATGACACAACTGAGTCTGATCACGGGTAACCAAGTTATGGGTCAAACTAAACCAAATCGATCATTGAACTAAATATAATTTATAATTTTTAAAATACTTTATTACGATAAATGTAATGTAGTTCATACTCCAAATAATCATATTAAGTTACTTTTATGACAACAAGATTCATGAACATTTATATATTATTTTATTAATTTTTACGTGAACAAATGAGATTGCATTATAACTTTATTAACGCACGGTAAATCCAAAGTTCTAAGACGACCGTTTTCAAACCGATCAAGTTATTTATTTAATGATTTATTGGTTCCCTCAAAATTTAATTTATTAATATTATATATATACAGTACTTTTTATAATAAATTTATTAAAAAAATATTAATTAAATATCTGAACAACTTAAAGATTTTCAATGTTTAAACTATATAATAATAATTTATTAATCTCTATTTTATTTAAATATTTATTTTATTTATACTAAAAACAGTTTTAAATGTAACCAAATTTATTTAAAAAATACCGATACTACCAATCTGACCGACTGGTGTTGACCGGTTCTCTAGCAAACATTGTAATCGAGCAAACTGTACTGGTCAATAAACCAGTTCTCGGTCCATCCGATTTTTAAAACAATGAATTAATCATAATTAATGTAATTTATAAATTTAATTTATAATACAATCGTAATATTGTTCACCGTGCATCGCACGTGCTACGTACTAGCATAGAAAATGTGATTGGAGCGTAAAGAAAGAAAAGGGTTGTGATATGCTTGCTACTAAACACATCTACATCTCTCCTGGAAGCATTGTATCTTCCGGAAGATCACAAACAGCGATACCCTGAAAGCAACAAACACCGTGGGATCTTATGAAGTTTCACAACAAAGCTAACACATATTTTGTCAACCAATGAATTTGTAATGAGAGTACCTCTCCTGTGAGATGGGCAACACATCTCTTCTCAGCAAGCAACTCAGCTTCTGTCTGCAAAAATACAAAATTAATGTAAAAAAACCTCTTTACCTAGTGTAATAATATCAAAACTCTTACTTTGCAATTAATCGAACCTTATCACATCTTAACTAAGAAAGATCTGAACTCGTTGCTCGATCAGGATATTAGATGACTACAACAACTACTACTACTACTATTACCAATCATATCTGTTAATGTTAATGTTCTGGAAAGCTAGACGACTAAAATGCAACAAAATATGGATTGAAATAACTCTAAGCAAGCATCCGAACTAATGAGAGAGCATCGACCATGACCAACATGGTTGAAGAAAGGCATCTTTCTTTCTTTCTTTCTTTCTTTCTTTCTTTTTTTGT